AGAGGGTTTCAGAGAAGGCCTCCCCATCCCACATAGGCCCACTTTTGTCAAGCAGTTCTACAAAAATGAGAAAACTAGAATGTTACTAAGCATTTCATAAAGGTGAGAAGTATGTTAATGTCCATAATCAATTAGTCAACATTGGTTTGGTTGGCTCAGAATAAGAAACTGGTAGACATCTTCATTAAGTGGGAGAATCAACTACTTTAGATGTCAAAGGGGGAAAACACTTAATTTGTAATGGAAAAGTTAAAAGCAATCATTTACAAGGCTTCTTTATGAATTAAATGTCCACACATTTAATCAACGAGTGTAGGCAAACTTGATTTTTTTTTTTTTTTTTTTTTGATTCCTCATGAAAGAACAGAATCTCAAGTGTGAATTGGAAGAGAGTTTTCAAAACTTTGGGGACACATTTGGCATTTTTCTTTAGTAAGTAAATATAAGAGACAGGAAGTAAAGTATTCACCAAGAACATCAGCTGCTCTTTTACCAATTAAATCTGTGTGTTTGGTTGATGTGTGTCCCTTATTTCACCTCCAGAAGGCTCATGTAAATTCATGTCTCTCTTTTGGATTCTACTTGCCCTTAACAGCAAGAACTGCTTAATTGGCCAGGCATGGTGGTTCACTCCAATAATCTCAGCACTTTGGGAGGCCAAGGCAGTTGGATCACTGGAGGTCAGGAGTTCAAGACCAGCCTGGCTAACATGGTGAAACACCATCTCCAGTAAAAATGCAAAAAAAAATAGCCGGGTGTTATGGCTTGTGTCTGTAATCCCAGCTACACCAGAGGCTGAGGCAGGAGAATCGCTTGAACTCAGAGGCAGAGGTTGCAGTGAGCTGAGACTGCACCACTGAGCTCCAGCCTGGGCAACAGACCAAGACTCCGTCTCAGAAAAAGAACTGCTGAATCGATGGAATTAACTTGGTAAGAAGTAAAGGTGCTCACTTGGCTATTAAATAAGCAAAGGTTGTAACATAGAATAGAAATATTAGAGGTTGTTCAGAAACCGAAATTACTTCTCGTTAAGGTTGTGCTTAAATTTATGTAGGAGATAGGCTTCCAAAAATTGTATGCATAGTACACATTTTACTCATCTTTAACTGCCCCCCCAAAAATATTGGCTCTTTAATGGAACCCTAGAGTGAACCTGAAGAGCAGAGTTCTATGTTGAGGAGAATTTTAAGGCCCTGATTTTTCTGTTTGCTAAATCTCTGCTCCGTTCAAGTTGTCTGAAAGCAAAGGCACATCCATGACATAATAATTTGATAAATTATTTCCTGTTCCAAGGCCAGGTCTACAGGACACCGAGACAATAAGCCAATCTAAAGCAAATCAGTCAAGCATGCCTTTCATTAGTATCATAGATCATTCCCTAATACAAACAACAACAATAAAAAGCAACTGTCCGATGTGTTCACTTTCTACCAAATGGAGTTCAGTTGATTATAAGGAAGAAATTCAATCAAATCAACTTGGGGCATTGTACAAATTATTTAATGAATTGGCTGCAAGTTTTATTTCCCATTGGTGTTGGCATTGTACAATCCCAGGATACTGAGTATCTTAAGGAAATGAATGCCTGAAGAACCAACCAAATCATCTCAGACCAGAGGTTGGCAATTTTTTTCTATAAGAAGCCAGAGAGTAAATATTTTAGGCTTTGTATGCTGTACAGTCTCTGTCACAACTACTTGACTCTGCCTTGTAGCAAAAGCAGTCCTAGACAGTACTCAAATAATAGACATGGCTGTGTTCCAATAAAACTTTATTTACAAGTGGGGTGGCAGGCCTGATTTAGCACAGAGGCCATAGTTTGCAGACCCCTATTTTAGACCCTTGGAAAACTTTGCAATATCCTATCATCCAAGAACATTTAGACTATGGCTTTTTAAGTATTCTAATCAAAGTGTGGGAAAGGATCTACAAATTTAACATAACACTGATCACTCAAGATGGGCCCACGGGAGATTTCCAGGATGGAAGGTACTAACTCACCACTATCACTACTTATCAGGAAACTTGCTATCATTTTACCTACACTCCCTACTTTAGTTATCGCAAAAACCTTGGGAAGCAGACATTAGAATCCCCACTTCCCAGATGTTTCGGAGTGCGAGAAGGAATAACTAAAAAGCACAGTCAGCTTCCAAACCCAGACCTGTCTCCCTCCAAGGCTCCTGCTGTTTCCGCTACACTGTTACTAGCTGGGGAGGGATGGTAATTCTTCACATCTACACCTGACCAGCAGACCAAGTGCAGAACCCAGGGAAGGAATCTACAGATGGAGTGACTGCATCCAATTGGCCCCTCAGGCAAATTTCAAATCCATTGGTTGAGGCTTGAAGATTTCCACTTCTCCGTGCCAGCAGTTCTGGGCTTTGTCGTGTCATTCTCTCATCTTAACCAAAAGCTCATGTTCACATTTAGTCCACAAACGAGGGTCATGGGCTAGGTAGGGAGGAGGCAACCTTCACAAAGTGAATGTTTTCTTAACCCTTTCCATAACCCCATAGTACAGTCATTTCAGCTCATGCCTCGAGGATGTTTTCTGAAAAAAGAAAGTGCCCTTTCAGCACTCTTGGTGTCTGATTTCAAACCCTGCCCTTCCATCGGGTGTTTGTAAGTGGGCTGACAATGCTGCCCTGTTTTTACTGATTTTCCCACAGGGTTTAGTCACCCAGGTGCTCTCTATACCACATACTTGGGTTCGGGTTAAGGGGATGGGTCTAGAGCCCAGGGCCTCTACACTACTTTCCTTTAAGGCTTAAAGGACAATTCAAGGTAACTTTGATTTGTGTTCATCTGAACATGTGGAAACATTCACCCCAATTATTCCACTGATGAGCTTACAATGTGGTCTCCCTTACAATGGAGTTTTTCTCTACCTGACTGGTCTCCAGGGTGTGAGCAGGAAGCATGCCCTCCAGCATCCCCTTTAAAAAAAACCTGGGGCCGGGTGCAGTGACTCATACATGTAATCCCAGCACTTTGGGAGGCAGAAGCTGGTGTATCACTTGAGTCCAGGAGTTCGAGACCAGCCTAGACAACATAGCAAACACTATGTCTACTAAAAATACCAAAAAAAAAATTAGCTGGGTGTGGTGGCAGGCACCTATAGTTCCAGCTACTTGGGAGGCTGAGGTGAAAGAATCACTTGAACCTGGGAGGCAGAGGTTGCAGTGAGCCGAGATCACGCCACTGCACTCCAGTCTCAGCAACAGAGCAAGCGTCTGTCTCAAAAAAAAATCTGTTCATCTCTTAGAAGGAATTAGAAATGAAAAAATTGAGTACGGAACCAAGGGGGGAAAATATGGCAGATTGTATATGCAGGGAAGCAACTCACATCTCAGAGGCTGACACAGACAGAGTGTGAGGTGCCACTGAATGTGACTTCAGTGGCACCTCACTTACTAAGGGTACATCCTCAGAATGGGTATGATTTTTTACCCCCACTTTACATAGGAAAAACCTAAGGATTGAGAAAAAGGAAAGTGACTTGCTTATAGAAGGTAGGCACCAAGGCAAAACTCCCTCCAGGGGCTCACACAAACATCAAACAATTCAGCCCTCAGCGAAAAAGCACACAGATGCTTAGAAGCCCCTAGCAAAGAGATGAAGGCCCACCTGCCCTCATCCACAGAGCACTCACAGCAGGGTCAGCTGCCACTGTCCCGGGAAGGATAGGCTGTCGCTGCTCCATCGCTTGCTGGCAGGAGTTGCATGCCAACCATTCTGGAATATTCCTAGTTATCTTGGGAGGAGCTCATAACTCTCAAACCCAAATTAAAGTTCATTTCTCTTTATTTTAAAAAAAAAAATGCATCTTACTGATATCAAATAATGGTGGGGCTTCACAAGCTGAGAAATTTTGAAATCACTCTTCTGTATTACTTGTTAACCAGCTGAATTCCAGAGAATGTACATAAGGCATAAACCAAACGATAAATTGGTGATAAGGTGACAGTGTCACATTTTAAACAGTGAAGTTATATTTTCAGAACTTTAATGGATCTAATCGAGTATCTCTCCATAAAAAGAAACACTCCCTAACTTATCTTTTTCTGTAAATCTAGATTCTTTTATATTAAGCTTGCTTGACACAGAGCGTACTTAAATTAATTAAAAGGCGTTTTAATGAACTAAGAATCTTTAAGAAAAAGAGCAATTTTTGGTCATTCTTCTTGCTTGAGGAAATATAGATCTAAGCCCCAATAAGGTTTGACTCTCAGAGGCTAATGTTGACTTTGTTTACCTCATGAAAAGAATGTTGTAACTAATCTGTATGATTTCAGTTATGAGTAAGGCAAGTTGCTTTTTGGTCCACATAAAGGAAAATAAAGATCACAGTTGTCCCGTGCAACTCCAGGGAGAAAAATCAAGGCCAAAGATAAACCCACTGCTCCCTTTGCAGTGGGATAGACAGGCCTTGCCACAGAAGGGGAAAAGGAGTGGCAAAAGGCAAGACAGTGGAGCGAGTGAGGAAAAAAAGGTCTCCACTCCTCCACGGGTATCCACACGAACAAGTCATGCCCTGGCAGAAAGCCAAGTCACTCGGCTGGAAACAGGCCCAGGGGATTCCACAGCAGGCTGAAGAGCCGCGGCTTCTGGAAATAAAGCCCCTCCTGTGAAGAACTGCATGGCTTTTCCTCCCAGCCCCAAGCCCACCCCACATCTGGCTTTTGTTGTGTGAATCACAAACCGCCCTTTCTTCACCGCAGTGATTCATGCACAGGAGCGAGGTACCCCGGGCCCGTCCCACCTTGGAACACTAGTTCGTTCCCCTCCAGCCTGGAAAATCAGCATCACCTCTGACAGGCTGGTTTCTCCACCAGGCTCCATGCCGCCCACCTCCCCCGCATCTCACTCCCGGCCTTGGAACCCAGGCCCGGGGGTCCCATCCCCTCCACCAGCAGCTCCCCAGTTCCAGGCCGAGCTGTGATCACCCGGCCCCGTGGCCCTCGCTTGGCTCTGACAGCCACCGCCGAACCACTTACGTTTTTGCCAGAGCATGGCCTGTGACAGGATGTTGCCTTTTCTCTTTGAAGCCGACAGTCTGGCTTCTTGAACGTGAGACCGGGGTGTGCTTTCCTCCAGTGGAGCCACCGCTTGTGCTGAGGCTGTTTCCTGGGCTTTTTAAAGGCCTGGGTTCCCGCTGCGTGGGGCGCGTCATCACGTCCTCCCACCTCAGGCACGGGTGCAACGTTTCTGCAACCAGGCCTCGGGTCACCCCACTGCGCGCGCCCCAGCCGCCCGGGCCCAGAGTGCTCCCCACCAGGAGCCAGCCAGCTGGGACAGAGCAACAGCGCAGCGCGGGCGGCCACAGCCTGCCCCGGCCCCACGGGGACCTGCTGGGTGTGGGTGTGAACGTGGTGTGGGGCGAGCTGTGGGGACCCCACGTCTAGCCCTCCCCAGGCCAGTGATGAGCCCAAAAGCCCCTCTGGAAAACGTTGGGCTTTGCATAGCGCCCGTGCAGGCTTCCAAGCCACCAGGGCATGGGGTAGGACTCAGCCCGCCATGGGTGCCTGCTGTGCGGGAAATGCGATTCCCAGGGGTCACTGGTTCTCGACACGGAGGAAACACCTGTCATCTCATCTCTTCAAGCCTCAGTAAACAACCTTCTCATTCTTTTAATATTGCTTTTCTGTTTATTCCATTTTGAAACACAATAGCCCCTCCCCTCGCCCCCAGCCACCCCCAAAATGGCAAAGCTTAATCATGCTGAAATATGGGGGCGCTGGTTTTGATGGCGGCTATGCCCACGAAGAAAGCGGCCAACCCTCTCAGGGAGGAAAGGAGACTGTGCCCGTGCTTTTTGACTGGAGCTGGGCTTGTAGTCACAGGATGAACAGGGCCTCTCTGCGGGTGCCCACCCACTGGTAACAGGAAGCTTCTTGAAGTAAAAGTCATGAGTTCACCCCCTGGAAGTGTAGAGGGTGTTGGTGACCAGCTCCTTCCCAGTTCGGAAGTCTTCTGCCACTGCATACCTGAGGTCCACATGCTCAGGCTCCAGGGACTCAGCCAGTTTGGGGTCAAGACCCCTTGGTTACCACCCCTCGAGCAGGTGTGAGGCCTTGCTGTTCTGCAGTCCATAGTGTCTCAGAGCCATCTTGCACCACCTAGACCTGATCATGCTATCCTCCAGCCTACAAAGCATTCACCTCCCTTCAGCCACAGAGCTGGGGCCTCGAAGGACTCCCACTATCGAGCCCTTGCCTTCCTTTCCAGCCTCACCACCCACTGCCCTCCAAACACTGGTCCCAGTGCCCTCTGAGCACCACCGAACACCCATGCAATTCCCTCCTTCGACCTTGTCGTCTCTCTTGCTGGGAGGACAAACCCCTTAGCCCAGAAAATACTTGTCCCTCTTTTCAGCTCTTAGAGCACTTTGTCAATTCATTATGTGATGGTGAATTGTCATATGACTCTGTAAGTTTCTCAAGGAGGTTTCATCTTTGCCTCTCTGGTGCCCCACACAAGACTTGGAGCATACTGACCCCCCAAAAAATTCATCTGATGAAGTTATGAATTACTGTCTCTAATGGGTTGTTGATGTGAGGCCAAGTCTTGGAGAGAACTGATATCCACATTTCATAAATGACTCACTCAAAAGCCAGGGAGGCTGTCTCCTGGCTGGGGATAAGCCCTCCCCACAAAGCCTCTGCAGTTCGGGAAAGTGGAGGCCCCCATGCTGCAGCAGCTGACAGCCCACACCGTGGCCTGGCAGGTGGCAGCATGGCAAGGCCTTGGACTCCACCGAGGAGTTTTTGTGAGAAACAGAGTCACATCCCTCAGGCCTGGCTTAGTCACAGGAGACGTGGGTTTCCATGAAGGCTCTGACACTCACTTGCTGTGTCCCCTTCAACAAGTCACATAACTCTTCTAGCCTCAGTTTCCTCATTTATAAAATGAAGAACCAGTTCTGTGAATGTCTTACAGATTCTTAGGAGGCTATGTGACCTCACTGGTCCTCTCTCCCATGGGTCTGTCTTTTGTCTATTTTCATTATGTCTCATTCTCTCCAAGTCTGTGAAATTGAGAGCTTTTTCTTATTCATCTCAGTGTCTCCCCATAGGTCTAGCATGATCATTTCCACAAAGCAGCAATAATAACCACTCACTGTGCAAGAGGCTCCATGTTAAGCCTTAAATACATGAACTAATCAAGTCACCACAAAAACTCTGTAAGGAATCTTCTATCTGTACTGTTCAGAGCAACAAACAAACACTTAGGGAATGTCGTTTGCCGAATGTCACCAGGCTATCAGGATATAGGGTGGTGCCAGACCCAAATCCATCTGACTAGAGCCAGAACTCTAAATAATTAAACTAAAAGCTATTTATTAGGTTGGAAGTAGGGAAAGCCAAGTGTCAGCCATGTTTGTCAGTAGTAATATAGGATCATTATTATTCAGACTGAAGCAGATCAATAGAAGCTATATCCCCTGGGATAAATTTCTGTCCTTTGGAAAGAGGGAAAGAAACGGTGAAACCCAGAGATACTCTGACAAATCAGATCTCGTACAGTGGCAGGAAAAAAACTGTCAATAGGCAAGCCCATCATCATAGCCAGCAATAAACTCACCACCTCTTACAGCCTCAAAGCTCATGAGGCAGATTCCAGCTCATTTTTCCAGCAAATACCCTGCATATCAGTGACCACATATAAGCAGGTGCTTTGGAATCAAGACTTGATCAAAATAGCACATATTTTCCAGAAAAATGTTTTCTGTAACTTAGAATCAAAAGTCAAACTTCATGGCATAGTTCAAAAGAGGTAACTATGTTTATACAATGTCTCAAGAAGTGGAAGAAAAGACAAAACAAAACTGTGAACATGGTCTGGATGTCTCCAGGTGTGCTCCCATTTTTAAAGAATTTGATATACCAAGATCAAAACTTCTAAAATAATTTCTTAAAGAGCACTGATTCATATTGTAAAAGAAATTTTAGCTTTGCAAAAAGATTAACCATCGACCTCATTTCTTCCAACATTTACTAGATTTAGAGTGCTTATTATGTGTCATTACCTCTGCCAAGTCTTTTTCTTTCTTTCTTTCTTTCTTTTTCTTATTTTTTTATTGCATTTTAGGTTTTGGGGTACATGTGCAGAGCATGCAATACAGTTGCATAGGTACGCACATGGCAGTGTGTTCTGTTTGCTTTCACCCCTTCACCCACATTTGGCGTTTCTCCCCAGGCTATCCCTCCCCTCCTCCCCCTCCCACTGGCCCTCCCCTTTTCCCAGCTATAGAGCCCAGTGTTTAGTACTCCCTTCCCTGTGTCCATGTGTTCTCATGTTTCCTCACCCGCCTATGAGTGAGAATATGAGGTGTTTCATTTTCTGTTCTTGTGTCAGTTTGCTGAGAATGATGGTCTCCAGATTCATCCATGTCCCTACAAACAACACGAACTCATCATTTCTGATTGCTGCATAATATTCCATGGTGTATATGTGCCACATTTTCCCAATCCAGTCTATCATCAATGGGCATTTGGGTTGATTCCAGGTCTTTGCTATTGTAAACAGTGCTGCAATAAACATTCGTGTGCATGTGTCCTTATAGTAGAATGATTTATAGTCCTTTGGGTATATACCCAGTAATGGGATTGCTGGGTCAAATGGAATTTCTATTTCTAAGGCCTTGAGGAATCGCCACACTGTCTTCCACAATGGTTGGACTAATTTACACTCCCACCAACAGTGTAAAAGTGTTCCTTTTTCTCCACATCCTCTCCAGCATCTGTTGCCAAGTCTTAATCTTTTCATTTGGCCTTTAATTATCTTCATTCATGACACTGCATCATTTTTGATTTATGAAAAGCCCCTATCTGATTCACTCATTCATTCATTTGCTCAGTAATCTATTTATTCGTTCTTCCACTTTCCCCCTCATTTTCCAGGTCTATTCTTTTTCCTGTCCCCTCACACCCCCATCACCCACCCACCATTCCAATCAGGACAACTCTTTTCAGTGGTTGATGTTGAGCCTTTTATTTGTAAACATTCGTACCTGTTCTTATAAGACAGGGTTTTTTTGGCATGTATAGATGTTTAATTCATATAGATGATGTGATGTTATACATTTCACACTGTTTCTTATTTTTTAATTCAGCATGGTGTTGTAAGCACTATCCATATTGATGTAGACATTCTGTGCCTCACTTCTAACACCTGCAAAGTATTCCATGGTGTGCAAGCACTGCATTTCACCTAAGCAGATTGTCTCCAACTCCCTCTTCCACAAACAAAGCATCGATGAACATTCTTATGTGCATCTTTTTTCAAAGGCGTGTGAAAATTTCCTGGAGGTTATATGCCCAGAGGTGGAATTACTGGGTCAAATAATAGGTATATATTTAATTTGACTAAATACAAACAGATTGCTGTCCAAGACTTCCACCAGCAGTTCATTCTTTCCCCAGCTTCTCGTATTTCTACTTTACCACCAAACCTGGCATCATCCACGGTCTCAATGTTGATAGTGTAGTGGATGCAGTGGTAGCAACAGTGCAGTGGTTTTAGTGTAGTAGTGCAGCGCTAGTGTAGCGGTTTGTTTGACATTTCTGATACTAATACATGGAAGCATGTCTTCATATGCATGTTAACCCTATGGAGCTTCTCTTCTCCAAAATGCCTGTTCCATCACTTCTTGGCCTTTTGGCTAAGATCAAGTGTAGTATCTGTTCTTGCCAGGTTAAAATGCGTGTTCATTCCTTTGCCAGTTTCTCTGCTGGGGTTGCCCTTTTTCTTGTTGATCAGCAGTTCTTTGTACATCTGTCTTCTAGATGTACAATTCTAGATATTTCCAGTTTTACTCAACACAACTTTCTTCACTCTTATCATCTGCTAACTTTATCCGTAACATGCTTTTCTTGAATAGAAATACATACTTTATGTACATAAACCTATTTTGTTTTATTGGTCTCATTGATCTTGTACTTCACAGTTTTCATTGTTATTTATTATGGTATAGCTTAAAGGTTTCATATAAGTTAATCAGGTTCCTCAAAACATCCTGGCCAGGCGTAGCGGCTCATGCCTGTAATCCTAGCACTTTGGGAGGCTGAGGCAGATGCATCGGTCACCTGAAGTCAGGTGTTTGAGACCAGCCTGGCCAACATGATGAAAGCCCGTCTCCACTAAAAATACAAAAATCAGCCGGACATGGTGGCAGGCCCCTGTAATCCCAGCTGCTCAGGAGGCTGAGGCAAGAGAATAGCTTGAACCCAGGAGATGGAGGTTGCAGTGATCCGAGATCGTGCCACTGCACTCCAGACTGGGCGACACAAAAAGACTCTGCCAAAAAAAAAAAAAAAAAACTAAAATTTTGATTAGTTTTCATTGAATTTATAGATTACTTTGGGGAAGATTGATATCATTATAAAATTAATTTGGCCCAGCTAAGCATGGGACAGCTGTCAATCTCCTCAGATCATATTCCATGTTTTTTATTATTAGAGTTTTTAGATTTTCTCCACAGAAGCATAGCATATTCTTAAATAAACTAATTCTCAATTATGTTATAGTTTCTGTTGATATTCTGAATGGCGTCTTGTTTTTTATATAATTTTCTAGTTGGTTATTGATACTACAGAAAAATTCGAATATTTGAGTTTATCTTATTTTTATTGTTTATTGGTTATCTAAACTTATTCTAACAGTTTATTGGTTATCATAGTCTTTCTAGGTAGAAGGTGATCTCTTCTGAAAGTAATGGAAGTTTTACTTTTTGCCTCCCAATTCTTCCATCTCTTATTTCTTTCCTTTCCTACAGTGTTGGCCAGTACTATGACAAGTAGCAATGGTAATAATGGTCATTCTTGCCTTGTCCTTGTGTTACAGAAATGACAAATTCCTAAATTTTTTTTTTAAGATGAAAAATCTTTGATTGAAAGGGCTCATGGGCAACAAGAGAGTTAAGGTAAAACAAACATTTGGATATATTATAATAAAATTTTAAAACAATTAATACAAAAAGGACATTCTAAAAGCTTACTGAGAAAGAGAATATATCCATAGCTAAGGAATAAGAATCAAAATGACAGTATAGTTCTCCACAGCAAAACTAGATGCGAGCGGATAATGAAGAAATACTTTTACATTGAGATACCATCTCACGCCAGTTAGAATGGTGCTCATTAAAAAATCTGGAGACAACAGATGCTGGAGAGGATGTGGAGAAAAAAGAACACTTTTACACTGTTGGTGGGAGTGTAAATTAGTTCAACCATTGTGGAAGACAGTGTGGCGATTCCTCGAGGCCTTAGAAATAGAAATTCCATTTGACCCAGCAATCCCATTACTGGGTATATATCCAAAGGACTATAAATCATTCTACTATAAGGACACATGCACACAAATGTTCATTGCAGCACTGTTTACAATAGCAAAGACCTGGAACTAACCCAAATGCCCATCGATGATAAACTGGATTGGGAAAATGTGGCACATATGCACCATGGAATATTATGCAGCAATCAAAAATGATGAGCTCATGTCCTTTGTAGGAACATGGATGAACCTGCAGAACATCATTCTCAGCAAACTGACACAAGAACAGAAAGTGAAATACTGCATATTCTCACTCATAGGCAGGTGATGAACAATGAGAACACATGGACACAGGGAAGGGAGTACTACACATTGGGGTCTATTGGGGGGAATAGGGGAGGGACAGCAGAGGGGGGAGCTGGGGAGGGATAGCCTGGGGAGAAATGCCAAATGTGGGTGAAGGGGAGGAAGGCAGCAAAACACACTGCCATGTGTATACCTATGCAACTATCTTGCATGTTCTGCACATGTATCCCAAAACCTAAAATGCAATAAAGAAAAAAAAAGTACTTAAGAAAACAAACACTGAACCTATAATTTTAAAGCTAGCCAAATAGTTATTTTAATACTGTAGAATAACAAAGATGTCTTCAGACCTTCAAGACTCCCATTAAAATTGCTCTTGGTGGAAGCATTCAAATGAAGAGTGACCCAGGAGGATGTTGCAAGGCATATGAGAGCAAAAGGTCATCAACAACTGGGTAAAGTTTATTACAGGAGTTTTCTTAAAGCTAGAAAAAAGAGAGAATTCATATGTAACAATATACACAAGTCCAGAGAACACCACTGATATTATATTATATTTAATTTTGCAAAATGTGGCCCTTGAAGAGATCAAAGAGAAATTGAAATGCACTAATGCTTTTGTTTTCTTAGGAGAAAATATAGCTATCAATAAATTTAAGAAATCAATAGGGACAAATAAACATATAAGTAGATCTTAAGTAAGAGGCAACCGCCAGTTTGTTCTTATTAAAAAAACATTTTTATAACATAATTTTATAATATAATATAAATAACATTATAGAAACAAAAAATGTTTTATAATAACATTATAACAAAACAAAAAAGTTAAACTTTTAAACATTCTGAATGTTTAACTTTTTTATAAATAAAATTTAAACATTCTGTTTAACTTTTAATGTTTAAAAGTTTAACTTCTAAATTTTAAACATTTAACTTTTGAGCATTCTGACAGAAACTTGATCTTTCTATGAAAAACAGGAAGGATATATTTAAAAATGATTGGAAAACAGGAATAAGTTGGCAGGGTAGGTTCTACTAGCACAGTAATTATAATGAATTTAAGAATATTAAACCCACCAACTAAAAGACAGAGTTCTGCATTTAATTTATTTTAAAAATCCAATCCTGTAATCTTGATTCTAAAGCTAAATAAGGTTAATGTAAGAAAAGAAAGTTATAGGCCATCTAAACTGTGAACATCAATTCAAAAATCCTAAACAAAATATTAGCTTGCTGAATTCAATAGTATATTAAGGACTAACACAACATGACATAATAATAATACATCATAATAGGTAAGGTTTATCCCAGGAATGCAAGGATGGTTTATTCTTAGAAAACCTATCAATGTAATTCCCCACATTGATAAACTTTAGGAGAAAAATTATTAAATTAGTCAATCAAATCTAAACATTTGATAAAGTCCAATATCCATTTTTATTTTAAGTAAAACAACTCTTAGAAACTTAGGACTAGAAGGATATTTCCTTAACTTGATAAAGTTTATATACCAGAAATCTACAGTGATGTTACACATAAAAGAGAAATTATAGACAAATTACCTTTAAAAACAAGTTGCTGTCCAGGCATGGTGGCTCACACCTGCAATCCCAGCACTTTGGGAGGCCAAGGTGGGAGGAACACTTGAGCCCAAAAGTTCAAGACCAGCCTAGGCAACATAGTGAGATCTCATTTCCACAAAAAAAAAAAATATTAAAATTAGCCAGATGCGGTGGCATGTGCCTGTAGTCTCTGCTACTTGAAGGTGGAGACTGGAGGATTGCTGGAGCCCAGTAGGTCAAGGTGTGCTGTGATCATGCTACCCACATTCCAGCCTGAGCAACAAAGAACAAGTTGTCCTATTGCATTTCCATGATTAATTTCCAAACAGTTTTTACACACATACTGTTTTGTATCTATAGTGCAAAAAATAAAACATATAAAATATACCATGTAATTGTGCCAAGTTCTATTTCAGGCTTTGAGGATACAGCAGTGAAAAAACATAAATTTTTAGCATCCTATAGCTAGATAACTGGTGTTGGGTAGAAAGAAAATTCATATGACCTTGTAATAAATGATCCGTCATCAACTCAGACATGGACTAGTGATAAAAAAAAATTGACGACCTAAGAGGCTCAACCACCTCTAAACTATGAAGATTTTTCCATGGCCCAGAAATTCAGGGCAGTTTATAAATTCAGACCTATAGAGGATTTCTTAACCTTGGAGATGGGAGTAGAATGGAGGACCAGGTTGATTTTAAAGGGGAAGGGCATGAATCCTGTGTGCATATACATGTTTTCCTTGAAAGACAGTTCAGAGAGTTCATGAGAGCCTCAAGGTTAAAAACCACTGTTTATTATAAAGAAATACTGTGATTTCAGATATTTAAATATATAAAAGATAAGTTGCTGTAGGTCCAGCTAGGACAGTAATGGGCTCCAAGGTAAAATGAGTAACCGATAACATATCGAAGTCCATTGCAGCCTTCAGGCAATTTCCCACATATTCTTTACATACTGAGTCAGCTAAACCCATTTCACATTTCTCTGGCAAATATATATCATTTCATTCTTATGCATAATTTACCTTAATTATGGGGGAGGCCGCAGGATATAGTGAAGGGATTATTTAATTTAGAGTCAGAAAGCCTGGTTTGGAATCTGGCTGCAGTGCTGGCACTGTGGACTTGGTCAAGTTGTTCAAACTCTCCTAGTTTTAATTTCCTCCTCTTCCAGATTGAAATAATGATAATAATTGTTGCACTGATAGCCTAGTATAGAGTTTTCTACATACACTAATTGTACTGTATTATTCGGATCAAAAGAATATATCACCAACTTCCCTTTCATATCTTTGTTCTCAAAATTCACACACATTAGGGAGCCCCTTCAAACTTTACCAATTTCTAGTTTTCCAAGAAAAGGTCGGGTCCTGCTACCTTATCCAAAGGAGAGATAAGATTCAAACATCTCATCTTCTCGAGTGCCCAGGCATCACCTGCAAATATGGCTGACAGCTGGACGGCAGGTTCCTAGCTAGGCATAGGCCTAATCATTGGAATTTATAGTTTTATTTTGCCTTCAATCATTAGACATTATGACTAGGCACAATGAAAAGGAAATCATATTCATCTGATCAAATAGAGATTGCATCAACCCAAGTGGCGCCTGGATGAGTGCCAATGTTCAGAAGCCAGGGCTTTATTGTGTGTGACAGCCTGGACTCCACGGCAGGCTGGAAGGTGCCCAACTCTTTTTATGGCCATTCCTGAACTCCCTCTGGTACTAGACAGATGGCCTCTAGCCACTCTGACAACCTTGCATTAACACAGGCAGCTGACAAGTGTCCATCATTTTGCAGATGAGAAAACCAAGGACAGGTGGCTTTAATTACTATATATGGCCTGAGACTGCCATAAATGACCTTGTAATATAGTCAAGAAAGCCTAATAGTTATTACTTTTGGTGCTATTATGCCATGGAGTCTGGGGGGGAAATAATCTTTGCCAAAAGAAAGTGTTTGTGGGCTATTCTACTCACTGTGTGGTCTCTCCAAGGCAGAGAGATTTTTTTTTTTTACCATTACTTAGCACCACACACTGAACAACGGACTTTATTTAATAGTTTTGCCTCCTTGTTACCAACATTATTTTTCCCCACTTCCAGCATAATCAGTGGACACCGTTAAGAAATATTTTCCATGATACTTCTACAAATGCTTATTGAGCGCAAACTTTGTGCTGGGAATAATGTTAAAGATAATGAGATAAGGAAGTCCCTAGGCTCAAGCAAGTTATTGCTGGTATGAAAAACCTGATATATTTTTCTTACAACTGAAAGTCCCATAAGAATTCCTAGAGAACAGTTTCCATCTAAAGTACATGGGATACTTACTATAGAGAGATGTCCATTGGGCCCCACTTCTAGAGAACCTGACTTAGTCTGGAGCAGCCATGACTCTGTCAGTTGGTTGGTTGGTTGGTTGGTTGGTTGGTTGGTTGGTTGGTTGGTTGGTTTGGAGGTGTTTTTTTATTGCATTTTAGGTTTTGGGGTACATGTGAAGAACATGCAAGATTGTTGCATAGGTACATACATGGCAGTGTGATTTGCTGCCTTCCTCCCCTTCACCTATATCTGGCATTTCTCCCCATGCTATCTCTCCCCAACTCCCCACCCCATGCTGTCCCTCCCCTATTTCCCCCTGACAGACCCCAGTGTGTGATGCTCCTCTCCCTGTGTCCATGTGTTCTCATTGTTCAACACCCACCTGTGAGTGAGAACATGCAGTTTTTGATTTTCTGTTCTTGTGTCAGTTTGCTGAGAATGATGGTTTCCAGGTTCATCCATGTCCCTACAAAAGACACTAACTCATCATTTTTTATGGCTGCATAGTAACCAACATTTCAGGTGACAATGCTTTGAGATTTAGGAAACACAACCCTAGACAACTGAAAACTAGTCCTTCCTTTATCTCAAGATCTCCTTTTTTACCTATCCCCTTCCAAGTTTTCTTCATTGGAATGCCCCTAGAATACCCTGATTACCAAGAAAAACAAAAGCCTCCAGCTTAAGTGTAGCGTGGAACATCCTTTGTCTAGCAAAACACATAACCATCATTTCCCACACAGATGAGGGAGCTTGGCTTCATGAACACTCCACACCCAGAAACAATCTCATTCCTATGGTTCTCCCAAGAAATAGTGATCCAGTGACCCTGTGACCTGGCACACACTCTGCCTGTCCAGGACTCAAAGCTCTCAGCCTCATTTCTTCTCCGTGCAGCATTTAAAACCCCCAAGGGGCCAGAGCCCCCCAAAAAATATACATCAGGGATGCTGTTGATTTGATCAACTGCTGACCAATGCCCTGTTCCCCTTGAACTAAAGGCCCAAAGGAGTAAAGTGAAGGGAGTTTGTCCAGTGATCGAGGTAATAATACTTGTCAACCATCCTCCCTTCTGAAGATGCCACACAGGGACCTCCTCCTCTTCCTCTTCCTGAAACTTCAAGCCCTCCAGTGACTCAGGAGTTTCGCCAGGTGTAATGCATGATTTGTGACCAAACACCATGGAAATAGGAATTACAATAAAGCCAAAGTCCATTTCCTTATGAATCAAAGGTACAGTTTACTATAAAAAGAAAAAGGCTCTAACATGTGAAGACAAGTCTATTTGCATATATGCCATGCTCCCGGGCAACTCTCGGTCACAGGTGGAGCTGTAGGGCTGGCAGCTGTACTGCTGTTTTTCAACCACCACTTCTATAATTTGGTGGGAAGGCAACTCGAATAAATGAATGAATGAAGAGACAAAGAAAATGAAAAGGAGATGAAAATAGAAATGTCAGTAGAAAGAAAAAAAAGGAAAGGGTGAGAAAGAGATAATGACAACTCAAAATTTTAGACATCTTGAAGGTCCAAAAGAAAAAATAGAAATCTGCTTCCAAAGATAGAGCAGTCAATTCAAGTAAGCATAAAATCGACATGAGGCATTTGTCGGCCACAGTAACACTAGAGTGAGACCAATGAACAGAGTAAGCTAAGCCTGGCCTCGGTGAACCCAAAGTCTGACATTCAGTCAATACCTGGGTATCCATGACCCCTGGTCCACCAAAGTGTACAACGCCCAGAATATAGAAAAGACTCTAAAAATGATAGCTAGTATTATTACTATTTTTTCATTAATAACAAATATGAACGATTTTGACTTGAGCCCAGTGTTGCTATCACTCTCTATGGGAGAAAATACTACATTTTTTTAAGAAAAAGGTAATAAATGTAACAGGCACACAATAAATATAAAATGATTGGCATGAGTACTTTTTTCTTTAAAAAAAAACTCCCTTAATTACTGTGTTCCACAAATACACACAATCACGTCATAAAAAAACAGAAGTGGAGAGAGGTGGGTGGAGATAAAACAACTCCAGGAGTCCCAGCTCACAACACCAAGCATAGCTAAGACTTCTGGAGCGTTGACTATGTGTGAGGAACTATTCTAAATACTTTACACATATCAGTTCACTTAATCCTCATAACAATGGTTGAAGCATTAGCCTCATTTTACATATGAGGAAACAGACAGAGTGAGGTTAAGAAACTTGGCTAAAACACACAGTTTATAAGGAAAAGAGCCAGGGATCTAATCTGGGCAATCTGACTCCATAGCTTCTAATCATCACATCACATTACTCCCACGACACACACACACACACACACACACACACACACACAAGAGAGGTAAGTCCCAGACAGCTGATCATTCATCCATCCATTCATTCATTCTTTCATGCATTCATTCATTCAGCAAATATTTTCGCTGAATGTTATCCCACCGTCATCTAGTCTGTATTTGGCATTGATGGTGGAACAGTCATCAAGGAAAGTAAGGCCCTGACTTCTTAGAGTTGACATTCCAGTGGTTGTGAGGAGAGGTAGAGGAGAGGCAACCAGAACAAATATCTTCCCATCAGAACAAGGAAAGCAGTGAGTCAGAAAGTATCTTTCAAAATAAACACTTTGGGCACATTCAGAAAAGAGTTTCTAAAAACCCAGCAAAGGGATACAGATAAAAACCATCAATGGAGTCCAATCCAGATATTCTACATGCAACAAATTCAAGAAATATCAGTTGAGCACTAGCCACTGTCCTCACAATAACAAGGTAGAAACTGGCTCAGGGAGTTCCTAAGCTCAGTCACACCATAGGAAGTGCGTACTAGGCTCTGGTGGCCTTTCCGCTCTGTGACAGAGACAGAAGGTTTTTTAAGAGGCTAACAGACTCTGAACATCTTGGATCTCCCTCTTGTTTTGAAGGCTTCCTGTCCCACTTGAACATCTTATAACGAAACTCAGACCACCTACCTCCCCAAAACAAGGCAACCATTTTGCACCAGTTGAGGCAGGCTTCACAGACGGATGCACAGACTACAAAACAGAGTTCCAGACAGAATGCTAAGCTGACTCAGACCCACCTCAGCTGGAGTTTGGACTGGCCAATTTATAAAATGATGCCAAGCCCTGGAATGCAGAAAATTTGGCAGACTTCTGGTGCAAGGAAGCATCTTGGGTTTCTTTCGTAACCAGCAAATTTGGCATAAAAAGAGTAGTAGAGAATATGCTCAATAAAGTCTCATTGATTCACTGATAACAGCTCCTTCACTCTTTTTCAGGGGTAGACAACCATATAGACATCAGTGGCTGCACCTGAAGTTGGGGAACAAGTTCTCCCTCCAGCCCACCTAGGTTAACTGCAGTAACCAAGCCCCAGGGACCCTATTCAGGATGCTGGTTGTTGAAGACAGTGGCCCCAGTTGCTGCAGTAGACTGCAAACTCATGCTGTTGAGAGTCTTGAGTCTTGAGCCAACATGCCCATTTTCTGTCACTTCAAAATTTTTGTAGGTTTTGAAATACAGACAGGAATTTAACCAGGTTTATCTAGGAGAAATGTCACATGAAGCCCAAGGAAGTGCAGAATTTTGTCAAATGTCGCATGAGAATCCTATTCTTTCATTTTTTCAGTCACTGGACTCAGGGTCTGCAGAACTAGAACTCTGCTGGCCAGGACTTCTTCCTCCTCACCATCCTACAGGCCTGGGTGGCACAGGCAGAGTTATGTCTGAGGCAGCTCACATTTCCAAGATCACAAGCAGCTTGGAATTGTGTTCCATCTCTCTGGGCCTTGGAATTGTGTTCCAAGCTGCCTGTGATCCTTGGAAATGTGTTTCCCGTTGTGTTCTGTTTGTGTTCCATTTGGAGACTAGGGAGTCATGGAAGGTTTTTCACTGAGGAGTGATAGGGTCAGAGTTGCACTTCTTTTAAAAGTGGCTTTGGCAAGAGTATGAAGATAAATTAGAGTTAGAAGAAAGGGTGGGAGGTTAGAGAGAGAGTCTTGCTAACAATTGTTTCAGCAAGAATTAAGTAGGGTTGAACCTGGAGTGGTAATCACAGATGATCCCGAGCCGCCTGGCTCTCACTGTATTCTATTCTGAAAGTGTCGTGTCTCTGCATTCTTGGAATCAGTCACATAGTAAGCACTCAATAAATGTTTGCTGGGTTAATGAGAACTGAATAAATCTAGTGTGCGCCCTTCATTGTTAAAATGAGGAAATAGGACCAGAGAGATGAAATTACCTGCCTATGGTTACCTGGCTAGGCAAGGGCAGAGATAGACCTAGAACCTAGCCTCCAGCTTCCCTTTTCCAGTGAGTTTCAAACTTTATTATGCATCCAAATTACCATTTCCAGAGTTTCTGATTTGGCAGGTCCAGGACAGGGCTGGAGGATTTGCATTTCTAACAAATTCTGAAGTGATGCTGAGACTGCTGGTCCAGGGATCACACATGAGAACCATCTGGTTCTCCTCTATAACACCTAGCTATCTTGTTCAGAAAGCAGGGCCTCGCCTGGCTCCTTCATCCCTCACTGCTTGGCTCTGAGCTTTTGGGAGAATAGACATTCCATTCCAGCCTGAACAGTGGTGACAGTTTGGTAGTTAAGAGCCCAGACCTGAAAGTCAAGCCAATCTTATCTCCTCTGAGTATGTACATTATAGAATTCTTATAAGGGTTAGGTTACTGAATGTGCATAAAACAGTACAACAGTGCCTGGCAAATAGTAAACACACGAAAGGGACAGCCATTCTTACAATCCCATGGATAGGCTTGAGCCTGTGCCCTGAGGGGAGTCTGATGGTACTGCCTTTACTACAGAGACGTATGAGAATACGCCACAGAGTGGTGACAGACTATACCGTATAGTCGCCTAGATCCATAAACATATACATCAACAATGAGTGCAAAGATTCCTAGGAGGGACACCACTGTGGGATGATGCTATCTGGATCTCCCCGCAAGCTTCCTCCAAATCCACTAGATCTCTTATCACTCTGAGTCAAGGAACCAGATTGCTAAATCACAGTTTATAAATTATGAGTCACTTTATCTAATCTAGATTGTCATATGCACTCATCTATCAGAGAGTGTGATATCAGCTTGGACTGATTAAAGCAACCGAAGCAAAGGGCAGCATTGGAACACCTGTTCCTTTCAGCCCTCCGCACACTCGGGCAGCAGCAGCAGCAGCAACGGATTGTGGTGCCCAGAACCCCTGGGTGCCTGAGAAGTACATGCTGAAGCCAAGCAGTAGCTGAGTACAGGTCTCCAGGATGCCGGTTACCCAAAGAACTGTATATTTGGAAATCTACTACTCTAGTCCCAAACATAGGATACACCATCACGATTTCCTCTTTAGCCACTCAGCTTTGGGGACATCTGGAAAGAGGTTGCAGAGAGAAGCCAGGAGGAAAAACTCCCCAGTTACTAAAGCACAACCAGACTGCCGAAGGTCTAGCATGAGAAGGAGAGGGAGATGCTCTAGGAGGGACGGATTACTTACCAAGTGACATGACCTGTCCCCAAGCTCCACTTCATACTGATTGAACTCTGGGAGCTCCACTACCCTTTGAAAAGCTCCGTGCAAATGTGAACTTGAACTCTGCTCTTAGAAATACTCAGCACAGTCAAGACAAACTGGTACTGTCTAAAAAACTCCATAGCAAAAAGCAATGAAGAAGTCGATCTCTGGAATTAAATAGATCTGCGTTCAAATCTCAGGTCTACCTCTTAAAACTGTAACCTTGAGCAAAATCACCTAATGCTCTGTGTCTTGATTTCATCACCTGTAAGATACAGATGCAATAGTTCCTCACCAGGCTGTTACAAGGATCAACTCAGATACTGCATGAAAAGGCATACCATGAAGCCCCACAATCGTAGAGGACCAGGAAATGGCCATTGTATTACTAAGCACCGAGCAAGAGTGAGCATACTAGAATGACCCAGGGAACACCAGACACGGGGAAGAAGTCAAGCTGACAAGTCCAGCTTTCTAAACTTGCTGTAGCCAGCCCATTCCTGTGGCTCAAAATTCCTGCCCTTTCCATACTGATATGGTTTGGCTGTGTCCCCACCCAAATCTCATCTTGAATTGTAGCTCTCATAATTCCTACATGTTGTAGGAGAGACCAGACAATGGAATCATAGGGGCAGTTTCCCCCATACTGTTCTCGTGGCAGTGAATAAGTCTTACAAGATCTGTTTAGTTTTATAAGGGGGAACCCCTTTAGCTTGGTTCTCATTCTATTGTCTGCTGCCATGTAAGGCATGCCTTTTGCCTTCAGTCATGATCGTGAGGCCTCCCCAGCCAGGTGGAACTGTGAGTCCATTAAACCTCTTTTTCTTTATAAAATACCCAGTCTTGGGTATAGCTTTAACAGCAGCATGAAACACATACCTAGTGTGAAAATCAATGTCTGGCCCACCTCCATGGCCTCTTCATTTCTACTGTTTATTTCCATATGGGCCCACCTCAGCATCCTCTTCAGACACTTGTGCCCAGCCCTGTACCTGGTCTGAGAGGCAGACCTCGTCCCCAAGTAACTGACACCAGGAAGGCATCACCTGGTGATAAAACGACTGCCACTTACCAAGATATGGTCTTATCTTTGTTGGCCTAATAATCTCAGTAGAGTGGAAAAGCCTGAGATGCTCATAAAATCATTCACTCCACATATATAAATGGAGACCCTGTCCATGAGTCCTCTCCCCCTCAGAAGCCATTTCATTAGAACTTAGTGCCCCCAGCTCAGGAAATCTGGCTCCCAGATAGTAAGTTCATGGAGTGACTAAGGAAGAAGTCCAAATGGCCTGAAAATGGAGAATTTTTCCTGGAGCAGAGAGGGCAGTCCTGAACCACAACCAGGAAGTAAGGAAGAAATTGGCCCAGGCCAGCTGGGCTTCGGCATCCAGCAACAGCTCCTCCATCCTCAAGGCACCCAGGGGCTCTGCTGCAGGTGCGGTCAGGAGCTGTGCCAGGGGAGACTGGCCTGAGGTCCCACATGGCTTCCTGCCTGGACAAACACGCCTCTGCAGCCCCGGTGGACTGTCACCTCCGCAGGCCCCTCAGGCAGCACTCACACTAGCCCATTGTTCTTCCTCCTGCTGGCAGTTCACTGGCTCCTGCTCCCATCCCTGCTCCCAGAGACCCCAGCAGAGCCTCGCATCCCAGCACTCCAGCAGAGTAGGTACACACTGAGCAGGTCCTGGGCTCAGCACTGTCACCCCTGTGTGTGTCAGAGAGTCAGGGACCTTCCCTATTTTAGGGACATGCCTCGAAGCCTGGTAGCAGGGATCAAAAGAGCATATCGTGAAAAGGCTGTTCAAATGACAAAGATTTTCAACTGGTTTCTATCAGCAATGTTCTTTTCTTTTTCAAATAAATTACTAAGCAGTTCTCCAAAACTTAAAGCAGATAGAAAAGCTCCAGCTCCAGTGAAAAGGGAGCAGGTGGGGCCCACAGGCTGTCTTTGGGGTCTTCCCACTCCTTTGTCTTCCCTTGCCCTCAGTCCAGGCAGCCCCACAAGCATCTCCAGAAAACACACAGAGTTGGAGATGCTCTGCCCTAGGCAATGCCCCCTTTGAACTCACCCTGCAGACAAACGTCTTCCAGCCAAACTTGGAGGCACGCCTCCTGCATCACCTTGATCGCTTTGCACAGCTCCTCAACCTGGTCCACCAGCGGGTACAGGCATCTCGCAGAAGCCACCCCAGAGACATGCCTGTCTTCTCTGGGCCCAGCCCAGACGTGACGCTGCTGTTGCAGCACAGTTTCAGCCCCTGTGCCCTTCAACCTCCTCCTCAGCCCCTGCCCAGGATGATGACAGGTGGCCATCAAGTAGCAAATTATACTTGAGACTTGAGAGCAGTTCAGAGCCAATGCCCCCTTCAGAGCAGCTGAACTCCTACATAAATGCAGGCTGTCTCTGTGCTAAGGGGCAAAGACTTGGGGCTTTGGGGATAGAGCTTTTAGAATGGTCCCTCCTGTTATATGTAACTTCTAAACTGCCTTGGCATTAGGTAACATTCTGAAAACCAGTCACCTTGATTTCCAGAGTGACCAGCCAGGGTTATGGAAGGTCCACAGCACTCCCTGTTCCCTCTGCCCTTCCCAGGCCTGTCCCAAGTCAGCCCCATTTCCCTTCCCAGTCAAGTCTACCCGCATGTCCCCATCCTGCTGCAGTTCCAGCAGGTGCACCAGAAAAGTGCCTGCTAATTAAGACAGGAACATTCTCTACCCCCTTGTTTTTTAGCAAAAGCTAATATGCTTTTCCATTATGTCTGAGGTTCAGTCGACCTTCCTGAAAATCAAGACAAATGTAACCACAAATGTGGATGCAACCACAAGGCCCAAAACTCACGCTACTCCCGCCCTCAGTGTGTTCCCATGCATGTGGGTCCACCCACCTCCCAGCATCCTTCAAAGCCTTGCCCAAGACGTACACTTCCCTGAAATCATTTCTAACCCTTCTTTTAGAGCGTTTATGATTCAATTCCTCACTTTTTGATAATTAATCACATGTTGCTTGAGTCTTCAAAGAACACTTAAGAGTTAAGAGTTTTTGTTTATTTTCATTACTCAATTGTTAGTTTCTTACAGGCAAGGACCAAGCCTTCCCATCTTCCACGGTGCCCAGCAGTGTTTTATACTGTGGTTTGCCACATCTAGTTTTCAATTAGTATAGGTAGATTTATTCATGCCACTGGCTAGGAACAGTGTTGAGAACATACAAACTCTGAAGAGAGCTCTCATAAAGCCATTTCATTCAAAGAAACGAAACTAGGGCTGAAAAAGAACATGAGATGAGGCACACATTTTAATCTCCTAATTTCTTAGTTCATTTCATATTTCCCTTAAGCAAACATTTGTAAACTTAATGTGTATGACACCCATCTCCAGACTGTCTCCCAACACCCACAATTTCTCCCCCAATCCACTTCCCAAATGCAGCCAAGAGGTTCATTTTTTATGCAAACCTCTCATCTTCTTCCACGGCTTTAAATCCTTCAATTGCCCTTCCAGTTTCCCTGAGGCCCCAGTCTAAATCCATCTGGGATGGCTGCCATTCTAACCTCATTTCCTGTCATATTCCCCCATACTTTCTAGGATCGGGCATATTCAACTTGCAGTTCTTAAATTTTCCACACCAGGGTCTCTCTCTATTCCAGGCCTTCACAGGAGCGCTTCTCTCTGTCTAGAATGTTCTTCTCCCCACCTTTTTCTTTCCTTTCCTCCATCCCTTTGCCTGACTGATTTCTGTTCAATTTTCAGTTTTCGGATTAAGCATCACTTACCCAGAGAGGACTTACCTGAGCCCCCGAAGTCAGATCAAGCTGACTGATAGGTGTTCACAGGGCATCTGTCTCCTCTTTAAGGCGGGGTCTTCTCACTGGTTTGTTTTTTCTCCTACATCCTGAGGCTTTAGACAGTGTCTCTTGTTCATGGTGTATCCCAATGCTAATAGTGCTTACCGAATAGAATTGAAATGTCACCACATTTCAGCCAAATGTTTGGGAAATCTTTCTTATATACAGTGCTTTCAGGCCATTAAGGCACTATGCTTCAAGTGATGCTTTGGGATCGCTGTTTTTAAGATAAAAGTACAATTAAAGAAGCACTGTGTGCAAGAGTTCCGTAATCTCTAATTCAGTATAGTTTCTCTTAAATAAAATCATTAACTTCCCCTACCACAACCTTCCTCTGCTTCGGTCCTGTCCACCACCCTCACTTGTAGTCTGTGGCTTGTGGGGCGTGTGTGGAAGGAAGAGGGCAGTTATGACCACCATTACCACCACTAGTGAGCCACTGTGTTGCTGCCTTTTTAAGTAAATCATCACTGTCTATCCCGGAAGAAAAGGCTCCAACACTGCTGATTGTCTGCAAGGCTGAGACGGCTTCCGTAGATTGACAAGCAACCAGAGATAGCTCGTGAGTTTGCAGACCAGCCAACCATTGACCAAATATGGTTTCAGAGGGCACCCCTACCTGCCAACCACATTACTCCAACTCTGAACTAAAATGCCCCAGTAAGACCTCTGTGCTTTAGCCTAAAGCAGTGGATTTCAAACTCTCACATGCATCAGATTGCTAGGACTCACCTCCAGAGTTTCTGATTCAGGAGGTCTCATTCAGGCTGAACATTCGCATTTCTATGTTCCAGGTGATGGTGATGCTGCTGGTCTGGGACTCACACAGTGACACCTTTCCACTTAAGCTAGGAATGGCTTTCAGGCCTGGTGGTGAGTGGGATTCACCTATGGAGGGGTTTTTGTTTGTTTGTTTATTTGTTTTTGTTTTTTATAGAGTTTGAGTGGGGCCCAGTCTTTTGTATTTTATAAATGTATGATAAGTGATATTGATGCATGGCCAAAGTTGAGAACCACGTTATCCCTATTAAAAAGCAATGATCCTTGTAAAGGTCTAATATTTTGGTGCAGAGCCAGTGATTTACAAGCTAACATAAATGAGTTCTTGAGCTTCCCTGAGAGATTTTAATGGCGGGAAAGGGCATGAATACTGAAGATCCCAGACCAAGAGAGATATGTGGATGAGGCACAACCCCAGAGAGAAACGGAGGCAGCCAAACCCCACCTTTACTCATGTCATCACGTGCCCAATCTGTAGAAGCCTCATGCAGGAGGTGCCCTTGAAGCCACAGTTGCAGCTGCTTCCATGGAGGCTTTTACTGCCTTCGGCTCTGCTTCCTGTAGCCTCCCCAGCTGCAGCCAAGACTGTCCAAATGGGCAATGTGAAAAATCCAGCCAGCCAGATATTGTGACTGAAGCCCTGGATACCACTTAGCCTCTGGCATGAGAAAGCTCTTCCCCTGACCTCCTGTAAACCTCACTGTCCAGGGAGTCACTAGAAAGCATCCCCATATGAATTTGATCATTGGACTGCCTTTGAACACAGGAGCCCAATGGGACTTTAAGCTTCACTTTAACTTCCCTGGAGAAATGACATGTCTCATGAGCAGGGCAAATTCAGTCAGATGTTCTCCCCTTCACTTTCTAACCCCAGGGGAAGTGGGTGGTAAGAGGAAGGGGTCAATGTTTTTCCTGTTTCCTCTCCCAAATGCAACTTCTGAGTCATACCACCTCTTGAGAAGATAAGACCTACTTGCTTAGTCCCTCTATGGCTTTAAGAGGGCTTGGTCATCTTTGGGAATTGACCTCCTTTTTGCCGGGACAGCAGTCTCTGATAATGAACTCCAAATTTACTAGAGAGCTTCCACTTTAAAACCACAGCATCTCCATCCCTTAGCAGAGCCTGGATACAAGAGTTATGGGAATTGCAGGCCACAGCTGAGGTTAGTGGGATGGGATGCAAGCAAGTGGCTGAAGCCTGAGAGGTCCTTCTGCCCTCAGGGTGGTGGGTGTGAGCTGAGTGGGACTGAGGTGTGAGGGTGTTTGCAGTCCTGCATTATCCTAAGTATGGCCTGGATAGAAGTCTTATTCCTGATCTACAGAGAGAAATGGGAGGCCCTGGAGAGAGCCTGGATGGGTGAGGGTGGGGTGAGGGGAGACAGTGTAAATTCCCTCTGTTACTAGGGAGGTCAGAGAGGGATTTACAGCAAAAGAACCCTGAGAAGCAGGAGGCCCAGGTTCCCAATGACTGGCTGAGCAACCTCAGGAAAGTCATGCTGCCTCTCTGTGCCTCAGTTTCCCCATCTGTAAAGGGAGAAGACCAGAGCAGATGATTGTGCCTAGCCCTAGTGGTCTATGATTCTACAGTTAAGTGAATTAAACTACTATTGGGTCTCTTGTCTTAAGATACAATAGGCAGTTGCTAAAACTGCTTTCGGCTCAGGAAAGGGTATTGCATCTGTAGTACTGGAGTTAATATAAATAGCAAGAACTTTAGAACCCTCCAAATGAAAATCCATCTCTCTCTTCCTCCCTCCCTCTCTCTCTCTATCATACAAGCTCATGTTAAAAGATGGAGAATGTTCTAAACAAAGTGCAGGACAGATTTAATTTCTGAACTTTAACAGCATAACTTTAACATCGCTTCAAAGGAAAATAATCTTATGATTCTTAAAGCCCTTATTCCCAAGAAGACATGGAAGTGAGGAAAACTCTAGAAGAAAGGAAGACTTCCTCCAGGGGATAGAGGTTAATCTCTCCCGATCCCATGTGTGCTGGGTAATGACTAGCTCCTAACAAAGAGTATATAAAGGGGAAAAAATAACTTCACCGTGGAGAGACCTAACAGACACCACCTTAACCGAACGAGCAATGTTAACATCTCCTGTGACCAGTCATGGTCCGATCACACAGCCTTGACCGGACATAGTGGGAAGCGCGCGTCACCTCTGTAGTATTCTTCCTAAAAACCCATAACCCCAGAATAACCATAAGAAAACACCAGACAAACCCAAACTGAGGGACATTCTGTAAAATATCTTACCAGTACTCTTCAAAACTGTCAGGGTCATAAAAACAAGACTGAGAAAACTCACAGAGCAGAGGACACTAAAGAGACACAGTGGATGAGATCACAGGCTGCTCCTGACTCGAACCTGGAACATAAAATAATAATAGAAAAATTGGTGAACTCCAAATAAAGTTTGTAATTTAGTTCGTGGTATTACACAAATGCCAATTTCTTAGTTTTGATCAATGTACCATAGTTGCATAAGTCGGTAACATTAAAAAACGCTCGGAGAAGGGAGCATAGAAATCCTCTGTGCCTTATCGTCGCAACCCTTCTGCAAAGCTAAAACTATTTCAAAATAAAAAGGTTTTTAAAAACCAGATTATACATAGGCTCGGCAAAATCATTCATGCGAAAAAATGTGTCAACTAGCAATGAATATAGCATCACTGTTTGGGTGCAAGATTGAAGATTTGTACATCATAAACTAAATTAAATGTCAACAAATACCATGGCCTCACTGTCTTTGTTTTCATAGTCACTCAGTTAGACTACAATCTCTTGTAAGGGGGTTTCTGCCTATCACTGTATCCCCATCACCTAACTCAGAGTAGGCACTCAGAAGGTATGAATAAATGAATGAATGGTATTATTCTGAGGTTGTACAAAGAAGGCAGGGGATGAATTCAATCCCTGCTTTCTTGGAACACACAATCTAAGAATATATAATTATATATTTTTATTCATATATTATTTATATGTGATACGGTTTGACTCTGCGTCTCCACCCAAAACTCACCTTGAACTGTAATAATCCCCATATCATGGGAGGGACCTGGTGGGAGGTAATGGAATAAAGGGAGGCAGGTTTTCCCCACGCTGTTCTTGTTGCAGTGAGTGAGTCTCTTGAGATCTGATGGGCTTATAAAGGGGAGTTCCCTTGCACAGGTCCCCTTGCCTGATGTCATGTGAGATGTGATTTTGCTCCTCATTCACCTTCTCTCATGAGTGTGAGGCTTCCCCAGTCATGTGGAACTGTGAATCAATTAAACAGCTTTCCTTTATAAGTCACCCAGTCTCGGGTATGTCTTTATTAGCAGTGTGATTACAGACTAATTCAATATGGCAACATAGTTATCTTTTATTACGTGTTACTTTATATCAATCTAAGAAATCTAAGATCTATATATAAAATCTAAGATACATTTACATAATGCACACACACATACAATCAGAGAGAACAAAATACCAATATTCAACCAGCCTGAGGAAAAGTGAATTCTCTGTCAAGGGGGATTGTTGCCTATTTTTGTTCACTGCTGTATCCTTGGCACCTAGAATGGGTTTGGCACTAGCGGACACTCAACAAATATTTGTTCGATGGATGAATGGAACAAGCCTCCCGTACCAGCCAAGGGGATATGCCTTCCAGATCCTCTCAGGGTTTGTGTGTAGGAAGAGTGGGGGTGCTACAGAGAAAGCTTCAGCCTTCCCAGCCTCAAGGCAAGTTGGCATGTGTTGTATTTGTGCTCAATGTTCTACTGAGATGCCTCAAAGATTCTCCCAACCGGCCTTCGATGGCCTTTCAGAATCCTCATTCTGCACAAAGGTCTGACTGTGTTTTTTGCCAAGGGCAAAATAATAATAACAATGATAATAATACATTGGAAATGTCTCCACACACTCATTTCCACATTGCAATTTGTGTTGACTTGGTGAAAAAATTCAGTGGAACTGAATACCACTTTCCAGAGTGGAACATTGAATGACATCCCCCAAGAAAAAAACTCAGAATGAGTCCCGTTCGTCTTCTGAATGACCAAATCCATTTCTCTCCAGAGAGACGCTTCTCTTATGGGGGAGCCAAGAGGTACAGGGCTGCTCCAGTGGTATTTATGCCCATCATCCTGTGAGCTCTTAACTCGAGAATGACTCTGGACAGAGCATGGGTAATTTCTCTACTTGAGAAACCCTCAAAGTAGAGCCTCAGGTTACAAAGATGAAACACAATTGTGTACACAGAAATCTGCCTGTGAAGCCAAAGGTAATTAACCTGTGCTTTTTATGCTTCAGAATCCCAACCTCGAACACTCTGTTGTTCTCCTCCAGGCACTGAGTTATGCAGGACTAAAATTAAAATGAAGTCCTCCCTTCACCATGACGCTGTAATAGATAAAGGGGAAATGATGTTTGTGGGCTAAGGTCTCCTTTACTTGCCTTGCAGGACAATGGAGAAAACCCAGTGAAGCAGTTTATCTCTGAGCCAGACCTGACAGCTGCAGAAGAAGGGATCTGGGAAGCATTCGAACACCCATCCAGCAAACTAACTTCCTTTCTCTCCCACCATGGGGCCTATTATTGTCAGCATTAATTTTGAGCAAGCCACTCCCTTGCCCCCTGCAAACTTGAATGAAGATGTTGCCGGAGTGGAGTGGCAAATTAAGCCACTCAGAGAGAGTTTAGTATTTGTCAGGTTAACCAGTAAGTCATTTGAATAGGTCCTAAGGAAATAGGACATGGGATGTACCGGTTAGGTGATGATGGTGATGATGGTATTGATGATGCTGGAGATGCCGGTGGTAATAATGGTCGTAGCAACGTCAGGATATTGGAAGTAGAACTAATAACAAAAATGCCATTTTAGAAAAATGTATTATGCACCAGTCAGTCAGCATGGTAAGTACTCTGTACTGATTATTTCAGCTTGTCTTCACAACCATTTTTATATATCCTTTGATATGGTTTGGCTGGGCCCGCACCCAAATCTCATCTTGAAATCCCACATGTTGTGGGAGGGACCAAGTGGGAGGTAATTGGATCATGGGGGGAGGTCTTTCCCATGCTGTTATCGTGATAGTGAATAAGTCTCATGAGATCTGATGGTTTTATAAAGGGGAGTTTCCCTGCACAAGCTCTTTTCTTGTCTGCCACCATATGAGACATGCCTTTCACCTTCTGCCATGATTGTGAGGCCTCCTCAGCCACATGGAACTGTGAGTCCATTAAACCTCTTTCTTTTATAAATCGCCCAGCCTCGTGTATGCCTTTACCAGCAGCATGAAAGTGGACTAATACATCCATTTTATAGATGAGGAAAACTAAAACTCGAAAGAGAGTAAGCAACTTGTCACCCAGCTAGAGGAGAAAGGGCTGCAGCCCAACAAAAATTAAGATGATGCCTTATCTGAAGCAACCTAAGCATCTGTGGTTAGAACACAGTTTCTAGGTCCCTGCAGAGGTAAGAGCACACCACGAGACAGGGTGCAGGGAATCATCTGACATCACAACTTGACCCAAGTGCCCTCTGCTCTCCTCACTTTTTCAGGTATTACTTAAAGGGTAACAGACCTCAGATTCGCTTATCTACCATCTCTGGTGAAAAAATACATAGGAAAACGCAAAGACACATCTCAGTGAGTGTGGCAGGAGCTGCTGGGTGAAGAATGTCCTTTTACTTGGAATTGTTTCTCTAGGAAGAAAGGACAGATCATTCACTCTGGGAGACATGAAAACTCGGAGCTTTGACATAAAGACCAGGAGCTGAAGCATATTCCCTTTATCTCTCCTGGTCTCATTGTCAATATTGAACAGTTTCAAGTATCATATTGTCACTTCATGCTATCTTGCTATCTTAATCTGTGGTTTCATCTGTTGGATCTTTCCAACTGTATTACTAACTCTTTGTAGATAGAGACCATTATCCTGCTTCTTACACATCATCCCCCACATCCCAGCACTAGTGTGGGTGCCTAATGTATATTTGTAGTCTAATTTCTAGAGTCACGTCCACTGCAGTCAGGTTCAGCTACTGAGGACTCTGCTGGACATTGAGATGTCAGAACCATGAGAACCCAGAGAATTTGCAGAGGTTACCTGGCCTCTCAACAAGAACAAAACTGACCCTCTTTATAGTTTTCTGGGACACCAGGCAAGCTTTGATAAGATTTGGAATCATAGCAGACTCCAGATAATTTTTCAGGAGGTGCATTGATCTCAGTATGAAAAATGACCGAATGTTGCCACTGCCAGAGGGTTCAGGGAGTGAGGAGGGAGGGCTACCTGAAATTATGCTTTATAAAATGTACATGCCCAGATGCCTCATAAAAAGGAAGGATAGCAGGGCAGTTAGCACAGACTCAAAGCCTGAGTTCAAATGTCAACTGTGCTACTTGCTAGCTGTGTAACTTTGGACAATCTACTGAACCTCTCTGTGCTTTAGTTTCTCCACTTGTCAAGTAAATATAATAGTACTTATCCTATAATATCGTGTTGTCCACAGAATACTATGCAGCCATAAAAAACAATGAGTTTGTGTCCTTTGTAGGGACGTGGATGAATCTGGAAACCATCATTCTCAGCAACTGACACAAGAACAGAAAATTAAACACCGCCTGTTCTCACTCATAGGCAGGTGTTGAGCAATGAGAACACATAGACACAGGGAGGGGAGCATCACACACCGAGGTCTGTTGGGGGGGAATAGGGGAGGGACAGCAGGGAGTTTGGGGAGGGATAACATGGGGAGAAATGCCAGATATAGGTGACGGGGGGATGGAGGCAGCAAACCACATTGCCATGTAGGTACCTATGCAACCAACAATCCTGCATGTTCTGCTCATGTACCCCAGAACCTAAAGTGCAATAAAATATATATATAAATAAATACATAAAGCTCTTGTATTTTACCAAAGCAGTTAAATTATAAAGGTGTTATAGTTGAGGAATAATAAAAAAAGATTGTGTTGTGAGGATTAAATATGTATAAAACACTTAAAAGAGTTTCTGGCATATAGCAAGTGCTGCATAGAGATTAGGTATTATTATTCCTAGCAACTTTACTTAGTAATTATTATTATAGCATTCTGCAGATACAACATATCTTTACCACCCTTTGCAATGTATGATGCTTTACTTTCTCCCACCAAACTTGTGAAACAGGTTTTATTAGTACCCTTACTTCACGGATGAGGCAATTTAAGATTAGAAGGCATAAATGACATCCTAACAATCAACAATCACATGCCTGTATCACTACACACTACTGTCTTTTGTTTTTGTTTCTGATTTTGTTTTAGACACAGGGTCTCTACGCTGGGCTCAAGTAATCATTCTCCCCTGTCAGCCTCCTGAGTAGCTGAGACTACAG